GGCGTCCTGTAAAAGTATTAGCATAGAAGTTAGAAAATCTGGGTTCAAACCCGCTTTGCCGCTTATTAGCTACATGGTCTTTGGCATGTGAGGTGACTCCTTTGAGCCAAAACTGGCTTAACTATAAAATAATGACTATCTTCTCAGACTGTCTCACTCTCAGATTAGCTTGAGGTCAAATAAAATCATGTATATGAAATCAATTTAAAAACTATGCGTTGCCTTAAATTATAAGATGTATTTTATTTATTCATCATTTTCAATTTCTGAACAAAAAGAAAATTCTATAAATAATATATACACATATTTCCTAATGTTAACACAATACATGCAATTTATATGTATTTCTTCTTTAGGAGGAAAAACTATATTTCCAGTATATATGTCTACATATTTCCTCTTTGGGAAATAAACACTTGGAAGAATTTAGACTAAAAAAGTTTAAGGAGTTTTTCTAATACTTTTATGGAAGCTTAATCCTGTGACAATTCTGAAATACATCAATGCAAATTATGCATCATCCTATCATTTAAGGGACAAACCATAGGAATGACTCATCTTTGTCATTAATTTCATGATGGAGAATTAAGAGGAAGAGAGAAAGAATATTATAAAACTAAAGAATTATTTCAAATCAACATAGAATCTTGTGATTGATTCAAAATAAGGAAACTTGACAGTGACAGTAGAGTCACGTCACTCATTTTCCTAAAAATAATCAAAAACCAACTAGATTTGATTCTAAAGCATCTCTACTAACAATTTTGCAGATAAAACCATCAGAATTTTATACTTAGTATGTTTATTATATCAGCCCAATGTAAACTCTTGGAATGTCTTTTTAGGGCTTCATGTCCCTGAAAGGGAAAAAGTTCAGTATTTAAACATTGTTGAATTGTAGCCCAAATATCATATTTTTTAGTACTCAAATTAAATGAGTTTTTATTAAGTACCTACTATATAAGTGGAAATGCCTGCAGAGTCTATTGGATACAGTATCACATTTTCAATGTGTTTAGATTAACTAAACAAGTATATTTTATATACCATCCTACTTTACAAGTGGCACTCATCCTGGATAGAGTACCAAGTAAACTGGACACAAACACAACTAATATTTAACTCAAAATAGTACAATTTACTGTTACTTGGGTGTAACATCCATTCTATTTGTAATCCCTACAACTTACCAATCCATCATGTTTTAAAGCACTGAATAAATGGATTTTAGATAGAAAAGGAGAGTAATATAAAGACATCATTAAAAAAATACTAACCAATAGTTTCTTCCTGACTTAAAAAAATTGGAAATATTCTATGAAATTCTTTTATAATTTCACCAAAGTTACAATACATAGGTACCTGATATATTTTATTATATATTTCCTATTGCCTGTCTGAAATTTAAGAGTCATTTCAGAAACTGAATATTTGTGACTGCCTTATTAAAGGACCTGTTCTTTTACAAGATTTCTAGTGTAACTGGACTAAACTAATAATCTCAATATCTCAAATATTTTTATCTTTTAGAAAACTTGGTGATAGACTACTTTAGTATTTTGGTTACTATTTCTGGTCAAATTTAATATATACTATCCTCCAAACCAAAAATCTCTGGTCATTAACTACTGGAAAACTATAAGAAAACAGCCTGCTTTCAGGTTGTCTCAAATGTTTTGCAAAGGACATCTCTAATTTAACTAGCATGGCTGTTTGCAAAGACAGCTATTTTGGGTCAATTGTATATTTTATTAAAGAATATTGCTCATATTGAATTGATTTTTAAAAAAGCCATTTTACTAAACCTCTTACTTTGGATAGACCACAAGAAAAAATGAATACTTTTAATTACATTTTGAAATGTGAATACTTGGGCTATTTATTACACCTGTACTACTTTTGTTATTGAAATAGGTCATAACTTTATATTACCTGTATTTCTTATAATTTCAGTTTTGAATTGAACAAAGTGTGACTTTCCAACAATGTGCATAGTTCAAAAAGGAAAACGATGTTTTAAACTCAACCTTACACAATTATTGTTGAAAATAAAATAAAACCATAAGTCAAAATTATACGCACCCCCCCCCCAGGAACTTTGGATTTATACCAAAAGTGATAAATTTGAGTTGATCAGGTTTAGACGTGTGTAGTATGTAAACTCCATAGATCGAATGTTTAGGTTTCTCAAAGTATTCTTAGAGCGCTAAGCTAATTTTGAGGCAGAAGAATAAGCATTAAATTATATCTGTCCAACAAATGACCATACTCTTTATTCTTTAATATGCCTTTTTTGTCTTCTAGTATACATTCCATAAAATAAACATATCCTGTTTAATGTATCTGGTTCACAGACAAACTAGATCCCTCAGTTTTACAAGGATCCATTGCAAGAAAGTCACAATTAAAATAAACCTAGCTAGTCATATATTATATCTTTATATTTAATCCAACATGAAAAATTTAAAAATCCATTCTGCACCACTGTGAGAAATAAGTTCCATGTTAATTCTCCAGAACACTATTTTTATCCTTTGTACCCAAGGCACAAAGTTTGATATATGAGGTTGCCTCATACTTACTGCTTAGGTTTCACCTTTAATTAGACTGGAAAATCACGCACATATATGTTCTCAGTCAATCAACTCAACAAACATCAATTACCTGACCTCTGCTCTCTGCCAATTGATTTTTCCCAAATTCTTCTTAGATTTGCCTTAAGGACATTTAGAATACTCATTTGTCAAAAAAAAAAAAATGTCCTTTTCTTCACTAGAAAATGTTTTTTCCTTATTTACAATTTACATTTTTTTGAAAATATTGTAAACGTATACGCAAAATAAATTTACAGAAAAATACTATATTACTAACATTGTGTTACATTTGGATTCAAAACTAGCAAAGTTTACTTAGTTTCAATTTTCTCAATCCTAACACATTAAATAAAGAATAGCATATTATCCATATTTTATACCTTTCTCTACTGTTTTATTCTATGTTCAGCTTCTTATCAATTTCCCATGTTTACAGGACTTTCCCAGTAATACTTCATTGTATATGGCATTTTCATTACGTAAATAAAATAATACTAATTAAAATTATCCTGAATGAGATTAATAAATGATATGGAGGAAGGAAGGATTAGTGCTTTATAGTTTATATAGCTGGAAGTCATAATACAAACTTTAGAATACTTAAGAACTTATAAAAGCAAAGCAAAATAAAACTAATATATCTGCCACTTTTAAGAAAGTCAAAATTTAATAACGAAAATTAATATTTAAATAGTAATTTACTGTTGACAAACTACCTTCACATATATTTCGATCATAAATTATTTCTAAACTTAGGAATGCTTTTGTTGATAGAATCTCAGGAGAGACATAAGAAAAATATTTAAATAAATAGATAATATTTATGTTCTAAAGAGTATACTTTATATTTAGAACTATTTGAAATGTTGACATCCTTTTGAAAACTTGGAAGACAAAACTAATAACTTATAAAATTTGCAAAAACGACTATCCATAAACCTAGCTCTCAATTTATATGCATTTCCACTTAAAAATAACTCCCTACTGCTGTAAAGTAATACTGATTTTGTCACTAAATACAACAAAGAGTTTTTAATCAAATAGTGCTCATAGGAACTACAACATTCCTGCAAAATAATACCATTGTGGCAGTTTACAAAAATGTCAAAGACTTTGACCTCCTTATGAAATCAAGTTCTAAAATAAAGTAATAGTTAGATGCCAAAAATTAAGGAAAAATGATCATGTTATCTGTTAGATGAATTGATGACAAATAAGTGTGAATTAAAACAATTAAATTAATGAAACTGATATCCTCCAAACACTTAAAACTCTTTGTTTTCAATTTCACCTGTTTGTTCAGCACACTTTCTTGTACTGAGAAGACTTTTAAAATTAAAATATGCTCAATTTGATATAATACAAATATTCTGCAATTCAGAGTGAACAATTTATTACTGTTGTGGAAAATTTCAGATAGAAACTATTCCTATATATATCACATAATCTATAACCATTATCTTAACATAAATCTTGAGCAGTAGTTAACTAGCATGTAAAGCTGAGGAGATATTTGAAACATGCATTTCTTTCAAGAGTGAAAATGCAATATAAATTCTATATTGACTGATTATACCTTAGAGAATTAAATTAATACACAGTTGATTGCATTATTTTACATTAAATTATGCAGTATTTTGGTGGGAGAGCACCGTACAACTGTTTTATTAAGGCATTTGGTGAGGTCACCCGGTTAGTTTCATTGTGTGGGGTAATAGATCCAGCTGGGTTGGTTTGTGAATTCAGGTGGATGGGAGACTAACATGATTTGGCACCAAGGTAAGGATTCATGGAGTTATATCCACAGGATATATGTATTACGTGATAGTAAGAGACATTTACAACCCAGAATATAAGAGCAGGGCAGCCTCAAGTGACATCACCAGATCATCTGCAGTGTCAACCAACCGCCTCAAACATATATCCTCCACACCACAGCTCCCCTCTCTTTCTCTCTGTTAGCAAAGCTTCCCTTGCCTTCACCAGTGTAACATAGCATGTATCTTCTTTAAAAGCAAGCCATATGCTTACTCAAGAGAAAAGCAAATAAGAAAAACCGAAGGAACAGAATAAAAAACTAGATTGAGTACAATTTTCACTAACTTGACATTCAGGTGACAAGATTAACACTGAAATGTTAAGGGAGAAGTTAACTTAATTATCCTGACCAGAAATGAGGGGGGAAAAAAAAGAAGGAAGGAAGGAAGAAAAAGAAAGACAGACCAGCTGAATATCCCTGAGTCTAAACCTTGTTTTTAACTCTGATTTGCTCTGGAAGCAGCCAACAGTGGGGCTCTTGAATTTCTTTCCAAAAAAATTAAATAATCATAACAATAAAGAGGAAGTGGACTCTATTGCCTCATTTCAATTCTCTTCTAATTTATCCACAACTTATGTTTTACTTACAAGCATTCGTTACAGCAAAACTGTTGGCTGTCTCAATGTTGTCCACATGAGGTACCAAATTAAAAGGAGCTTCCGACGCATTGGGGCTGGTGTTATGAAGAAAAATTGCCAATCGAAAAGCAGTGTATTCCTGATCTGTGTTTCGGATAAAGAGACCACCTATTAAAAACAAGAGGAAAAGTACATTCAATGCTTCCTCCTGTAAATGTGATACCCACCCCAAGTGCTGTCAAATCCACTGCCATTCAGCAGCACACACAATCAAGGAGCTATCCCTGCCACAACCTGGGAGACTGCCCTTTGTCCCTAAGGTGCATGCTTAGTATTTTAGTCTTTAGGACAGCTCAGCTTTTTTCTGTCCCAATTCGTCACGATCACAATGACCTCTGAGACCATGTAGTGTGTTTTTCCTTTCTCTCTCTTGCCCTCCCCATGATTCCCAGCACACTGCTACATCAGCTAGCTCATGGGCATTTCTCTCTAAGATGCAGGCATATGAACAGAAAAGGGGATTTGCATTAAAATGCAGACAGGCAGGGATGTGATGACATGCAGGGAAGAAGGAAACCAGAAAGGAGACATGAACTTTGTTTTTCTGCAGCTCGTGGACTCAGTCTAATTAGCTCCGTTATGTGCACAGTCCACGAGAAATGATGCAGTGTTGAGACTGAGCTTAGCTGGAAGAAATTCAATAGCTGCGTCCCATGAAAAGATAGGAGAGAATAGCAAGAAAAGCCAAGGATGGATAGGGTCCCTGGAAATAGAGTCGAGACGGAGGAATAAGGGCAAAAGATTCACAAAGAAAACAAAATAAAAGGAGAAAAGCTTCCAGGGAAGGGATCTAACTTTGGAATCGGTTAACGGGTAGCTAGACAAGGCAAGGGGGTTTGGGTGCAAACGCTTTTTTTGCCCAAACAGTGTCTTTCTGTGATAGCGAGAAAGCTGCGGCGTCCAGCACGGGAAGAAGTATGTATTTTTTTAAAACAAACTCGACATCCCTTCGTGCTCTAGAGAAAGGGATGAAAAGACACACCACATAAAACGTAATCAAATCCCACGGAGGTTTTTTCCAACTTATTCCAATCCTACTTAAGACACTTGAGCCAAAGGAGAAAACAGGAGTCTGGGCTGAGGACGGATGGGCGGGCAGTTCTGTGAATATTCCAACCGAACGTGCACTAAAGAGGCAGTTTTTTCGTAAAGGGGAGAAAGGAAGAGAGAAGCAGAGGGGAAGGGAGCCGCCGGAGGTTTCCCTGAATTGCTCATCACCAACTCATTTAACTCACTTTCGGATGTCTGCCACAGCACCCCCAATGCACACCCCACCTGAGCAGACCTTACCTATTTGCACGCTGCTCGGAAAGGCTCCCATGGCGAGTCCCCAAAATCCAGAAAATAACAAGACAATCTGTCTGCAAATAATCCTCATCTTCTTTTCTCCTCTCCCTGGCGCGCGCTCTCTCTCTTTCTCTCACACTCTTCCTAAAGGCTGTTCAGAGAGGCATTGAAGACGATGGCGCTAAAATTAAAAACAACCAAAAAAAAAAAAAAGGAAAAAAAAAGAGAGAGGTTTGGGTGGTTTATGATTGTGACTATTTCCCTTTAGCAATCCATCGCGAGCTGCCAGCTTTTTCCCGCAGTCTCCATAGCCCTGGGAGAGGCTTTCTGTCCGGCTGCAAATGTTGCACATGCAAAAGATGGTGGTGGAGCGTCTAGTGGCTGCTCGCAGGGATGAGACATGCGCTCTCTCTTTGCCTCACTTGCTCTCGCGCTCGCCCCTCGCTTTCTCACATACACACAAACACTGGCGCCGCGGCCGCCGCACGCGCTCCCCAGCTCGCACCCGCGACATGCCCCCAGCCTGCGCCAGCCCAGAGCATCGCTGCCCTCCTCGTCTTCCCTCCCCGAGCGCGCAGCACTCTCTCCGTCATCCCTGGCCCCCCGCTCGGCAATCTTCACCCCTTGGGTGCTCACCGGAGCGCCCCAGTCTCTCCGACGCTCCTGAGCCAGTCTGGATACAGGTTTTTTCCCCTTCTCCTCACCACTCACTGACTCCCTTCTCTCTTCTTCCCCGTTCGCCGGGGGACCTACTCTGGGGATGGGCACCCCCAGTGCCCCTCTTTCTGCTCTCCAGGCGCCTCTGCTTCCCGGCTGCGCTTGGCAGGAAATTGGCCCGCGGGCCAGGTCTGCAAGATCAGATCAGGGGCTCCGGGAGTTTGTATCTCCCATGCCCCCGACCCCCTGCCGCATCCTTGCGGGCTCGCGCGGGGAGGATCGGCTGCCTCCCTCCCCTACAGCCCTCGCCTTCCCTCTCAGCCTCGCCCTCTGCTGCCACTGGGCTGCGCGCGGGGGACTCCGGTCCTCGCTGCAGCAAAGATTTCTCATCAGCAAACGGCCTGGGAATCTGGAGAGCCTGAGATGGGAATGGATGAGGTGAAGGGGCTCAGGGAAGGAGAGGAGGAGAAAAAGGGGCAATGGGCAGCTCCGGGCAGGTCTAAGAGACTGGGACCAAGGAGGAAAGAATTGGAGGGGGGAAGGCTGGGGAAGAGACCAGAGAAGTTGAAACATCCTTGGAAAGAGAGTAGGATAGAAAATGTTAATTTAAATAACAAAGTTTAGGGTCATGAACAGGATGGGGAAGAGACTGAGAAATGAAAACTGAACGGGGCCTCCAATATGTTCTTTGAAAGGTATGAAGCAGAACTAAGAATAAGAACTGTGTCAAGTATAAAGTAGTAAAAGTAATTAAAGACTCCTTTCTTTCCAGGCGCCCTTTCAGGAAGACACTTTTCGTCTGTGCTGTGGCCCACTGCAGGAGTAGACGGGACACAGTTCAGGGGCTGATGAAGGCGGATGAGAAGGACAGTAGTTGGGGAAGTGGACACAAGTGGCTAATAGAAAAATAGGGCATTTTTCATGCACATCTTTTCTTACCTGGGGCTCTGGAATACTCTCTCTGCTTCATGTCATTCTAGGAAGACTGAAGCACTGCATTGATGATGTCGTAGTCATTTTCACTGGATAGAAGAAAATGAATTATCCCAGAAAGTTTTAGAGCTGTGGTGTCACTTCTTCTCCAGGGTCACCTTTAAGACTTCATTTCCCCTGGCTGTGTCTGTACCACACCCAGAGCGTGACTGTGGTGGCAATGCTTGACAGGTTTCTGATTTCCTCTGTACGGTGTGAGGTCTTCTAATCTAGACAGTAGAAACAATCCCCTAATTCCATTAAACTGTGAGAGAGAAAGTGTTTTAAATCTTCACGGTTCTTTGGGTGCCGTTGGTTAGATTGTATCATTTTAGAGCCTAGAAAGTTGGGTCACATCGATTCGAGCCAAGCTTCTGAGGAAGAGTTAGGGAGAGAGATGCTCCTTCAAGGTTAAGGAACCCAAAGTAGTGTCTCCCATTACATTTTACAAAAGACTTCAGCAAGTGTCTGTGTTTATCTGATGTGGTATTTGGAAAAAGAGGTGAGTGGATTGATTAGTGTGGAATTCTTACAAGGGTCCCACCTGGTAAAGACTTTTTTTGGTGTATATGCTACCTTTACTCCTTCGAATCTCCTTTTATTCCATTTCACCAATTATCTGTGTTTGTAGATGATGTTTAATAATCCCTGCTTGAACTGCAGAGTGCTTTTTCTACAGAGCGCTTTTTTTTTTTAATTCTGAATTTTGCTTTAAAATCACATCTCTTTTTTTTGTTTATCTCCTTTCCTCTTACATTTCACCACAGATTGTTATGACAAAAAACAACCTAATTGTGAGTAATTGAATTACACAAATCATACATTTGTCATTTCAGTTTATAAGGCTTTAGTCTTGCAAGTCAAGTGGGATTTGAAATGTTTTGCTTTTTGTCTTTTCTGTCACTGTAAAAACCAAGGCTGTAAATAATATCATTCTGTTTCTCTTATAAGAAAATAACAAAATAGGCCACATAAAATTCAAGTTGAATATAAGTTATATTAAGATTTCAAAGACCACCAAATCTTTAAACTCATCACCTAGTTGGCCAATGAGTGAAGCTCTGCCTAGTTCACAGAGGCAATTATTAGCTTCTGTTCTTCTCAAAATTGAAAGATTTGAGCTTTCATATGACGTAATGCCATCATCAATATAGATGCAGGACAAGTTTTACTTTTCGTCTAACCATCATGATGACGCCTTGGATAATAAGACCACAGATGACACGCCTGTATTTTTCCAAGATAGTAATCTTGTTTGTTGAATTTCTATTTTTCCAGTTAATTAAAATCTTCCTCCACTTTATCAATTCAAATTACCTTTCTCTGTATGCTCTCTCTATCTCTACGTTTATTTCTATAGATATAGATATCTTCTCATATCATATATGTCTTTCAGATGCATCAAAAGGGACAAAGTTTTGGAGCTGGTTAGGAAGAATTGGCAAGTGGGCTGGGGCAGATTGTGTCCATTCATAAATACCAGAATGATAATCAACAATGCAAAGACAAAACAGTGAAAAATAAAAGTGTGGCTGGAAATGGTAGAGCCAACACCTGTGCTTCTAATCCTGAATGTCTGGTCCCCTGACCCATTTTATAAATATGACTATACTATACCTCCTTTTATCCCAAGTGTGAATTTACATACAGAAAACACTTACTCGAGCCTCTCTTTGGAGCATTTGTAAAGGCAGAGGAAGAATATCCTGCCACATCAGTATAAAAAATTCAAAAGATTTTTACTAACTGAGAAAACCACAGACATATATGTTTGATTTTATTGTTTTTATATTATTCTAAGTAAATATTTTCACAATTTTCTGAACTGAAATTTACTAATATGTTAAATAATGGCATCTTACTAGAAGATTTCTAACATTCTTTCAACTTCCCAAATCTCTGAACCTGTAAAGTCAAGTCAGTCAGCATTTGTGCAGTTCTGCTATGGGAAAGGTCCTGATGCTGTGGGGAATCTACAGATGAACGTGCCACAACCTTGGACTCAAAACACTCGCCTAGTGTGGCAGAATGTGATCACATAGTTTCAATGAATTAGTATAAAGCAGCAGAGGAGAAATAGCACATGGAGTATATCAGGGAAGGCTTGGTGGGGATTTTTCAATGAGAAGAGATAGCTATAGATAGATATAGCTTTCTAGGTAGAAAACAAAAAGTCAGGTTGGAACTTTAATGGAGCATATTGCTTGGGATATTGAACCTTACTCTTTGGGGAACTAATATATATATGTACATATATATATATATATACATATGTACATATATATATTTGACAGGGTAATAGTATAATCAACTCTGACACTTTTAGAAAGGGAACATTTTTGGTAGTGGGTGTCAAGGATGGTTTGGTGATGCGGACTAGGAAAGGCAGGAGCTGAACTAGTCTATAGACTGTCCTTTCAGAAAATCAGGTGAAATGGGACTGGACTGGAATAGGACAGTAGGAAAGAGACAAGATGAGAGAGAGAGGAGAGTTATTGCTGAGACAAAGCTGACAGGGTCCACTCACCACTGGTTGGGGGTCGTGGAGAATGAGGCACATATTTAATATCAAAGATATATCCAAGTTGGAAACTTGAATGTTCTGAAAAGGAGCTGTAGTAATCAGAAGGTTGGTGATATCTTCAAATGGGAAAAGGAACTTAGGAAGAAGAGCAAGTTTGCTAGGGAGCAGGCTTTTCATCAAATTATTTCTACACAGTTACATATTGAGCACCTTCCACGTGTGTTTGTGTTCACTGTCTAAATGTTTGAGGTATAAAGGTGATCAAAGGAAAATTCCTGCTATTATTGGAAGATTCCTGATGTTTATGAACCCTCACTAATGTGTCAGGAAGTGTGCTGAGGCCTTACATATATTACTTGACCTACAGACAAATTTAGGTATCATGTTGGTTAGAAAACTCATGTAAAGGTTAAAATTCTTGCTCAAAGTTATGTTCTTAGTAAATGTTAAAGCCAGGAGCTAGGGAGAAAACTCAGATCTGTCTGATTTCAGGGACCATGCTGTCTTCATTAAAGCCTGCTGAGTTAATGAGTTTAAGGTACAATGAGGGGTCTGGATGCTGAAAAGTAAACTGGAAGAATCCATAACATTTAGAAAAGTAGTGTGGTCTGCTTAAGAGACCTCAGGCTTTTAGAGTAATAATAAATGGGCTCAGATTATAAACCCCTACCTTCCTGTCTAGATTATAATGGATAGGGTACTTAACATTTCTGTTCTCATAGGATATATATAAACTTTCAGCACAGGTCTGGCACATCATAGTCAATTCTTATTAATAAAGAGTTGCCAAAAAAATGTTACCAGGGTTCCAATAGAGGGAGGCACAGAGTGCCATGTGAGTAAAATAAGAAGTCTTATTTTGATTTTGAGGAAATTCAGGAAGAACTCACAGAGAAAGAATGTGAGCTGAATTTTTATGGGTGTGGAGAGATTGTCGGGTAGAGAAAAAATAATGTGCAAGACATGAAGGGGCATATGGCTTTCTGGAAACTGCTAAAAGTTTGGTACAACTAGATTCAGGTTGTAGTGAAGAAAGTGCCGGAAGTGAAACTGGAAAGCAAAGCAAGAGATGGTTATAAACCATCTCACTCAGTTTCATCTCCACCTCACAGACATAGAGAAGTCATGAAAGTTTATAAGCAAAGGGGTAAAATTTTCAGATTTGCATTTTGTATCCAAAATCTTGGCATAAATGTTGGAAATACTATACAATGAAGCTGGAGGCAGGGAGAGAAATTTGGAAGCTGAAAAATAGTCTAGGTGAAAAATGACTGTGTGAACCAAACCAGTAACAGTAAAATTTACCATTTGACCTTGAAATCACACTTTTAAGTTTGTATCCCAAATATATGCTAGCAGAATTATTAAAGTTGCATGCACAAAGCTGTTTGTTACAGTGCTATTTATCATAGCAAAAGCACATAACAACCCAAATGTCCATCGAGAGGAAAGTATCTTACTAAGGTGTGGTATATCCATACAATGGGTATATAGTTATATACCCGTCATATGTAGCTATATAGTTGAGGAAAGAGTAGTGCCTTTATATACCACTGCAGAGTGATTTCAAGGACATATTTTGTGAGAAAAAGCAAAGTAGAGACAAGTATGTGGGCTCACTAACATTTATCTAAAAGGAAGAGTATTTCCTCTAGGGATGGAAAATCAAGGTTTGAGGAAAGAAGCAAATAAACTTTCCATAGCTACTCAGAGTTGCATTATTTCAATTTATTTTAAACCAGATCATTCTGGCTTGTCCTCTCTAGTGGGATATCTCCTAAAGTCAAAAATAGTTGCAAGAAACAACTTACACTGCCTTCACTGATCCTATTGTCGATGCTAGTATTAATACTGCTGTTCTGAGAATAGTGTGTACATATTGGTTCATAACGCAAACGAATTTTTGTGCTGGCGTTGCTGGCTAAAGCAT